CAAGCTAATAGCCGAGAGGAGTCAGTGCGTCACTCAAAATGAAAACGACCACATTGATGACATTTAAATAACAACCAGTTGCGTCGACTGTTTACCCTTAGATTTTAATTAAGTCAAACAAACAAAACAAAATACCCAATCCCCGCTGGAGAGCCTTACGAAATCTGAAAGATGAATGGAGTGGCAGAGGCCCACTTGAGATGGTGCTCCCCATGAATACTTGGCCACTTGTCTATCGATCTGTTGTGTTGTGCTGGCCTGGCCAAGAAACTTGAATGTTTTGCGCATTTGAATAGTAGTCTCAACTTGAGTCGAGACTCTGAGACTCTGGAGAAAGCCCATCATCAACCGGCTGGCCACTTCAGTAACCCCCCCCCCCACCCATTTTCTGGGGTGTTTGCCAAAAACTTTTGGCTCTTCTGCCTGTGCTCCGTTTTTGTTGCCTAATAGGTTTTGGTTATTATTATTGGGGAGCATTATGGTTGTTGTTTAGCCAGACGGTTAATACGAATCGCTCTGCCCGGAGTATTCATTTCAGTATTCGGTTTTTGACGTAACATTCGCAACTTTGATGTTCCGCCCCGTCGAACCACTTCTTCTACTTTTATTCGCTTCCTCTGCCTCGAGTCGATAAATTCCAAATCATATAAATTGCCAGGCCGCAGAGCAGAGGCTTCATAGAATCCATCGAAACTTTGTCGGTGATTAGTGGCAGAAGTTTTACTCGAAATGCGCACATTTGTTTGCCTCGCCCTGGCGGCCATACTTTTGGTCGCCGGCTCCTCAGCAGCCACATATGATCCTGCGGCCCAGCTCCTGGCCGTGGATGCAGGTGTCCAGGCTTCATCGGCCGCTCGGCAAGTTCGTCAGTATGGAGGCGGTTTTGGAGGAGGCGGCTTTGGAGGAAGACCAGGAGGTGGCTTTGGAGGAGGACCTGGAGGCGGCGGTGGCTTTGGAGGTCCAGGAGGCGGCGGTGGCTTTGGAGGTCCAGGAGGCTTTGGAGGTCAAGGAGGTGGTTTCGGAGGTCCAGGAGGCGGTGGCTTCGGAGGCGGTGGCTTCGGAGGACCAGGAGGCGGCGGTGGCTTCGGAGGACCAGGAGGCGGCGGTGGCTTCGGAGGAGGTCCAGGAGGCTTCGGAGGCTTTGGACGCTAAGGCCCAACCAGCAATCATCTGTGACTGACTAAGCTTAAAACGCTAGAAAAAGAATGTGTAATTAAGTGCATTCAAGCACCTTATAATTAAGTTCGAAATAAATTAACCCCTTTTCTTTGATTCACTTAATTTCCTTGTCATTTGCATGGCCCACAGTGATTGGCACAACTATTCAGAGTTAAATTTTGTTTCAAAGGCTCTTAAAATAATCTGATTTGGTTTGAATACAAACAAAATATAAGTGAGATTTATAAAGATCTTGTAAAAGGGTCAAAAAACACTATAATAATGTTGGTAAACTGTTAGATAAAGTATTAAAATTAATAGCAGCAATCTCTACAGATTTAAAATAATTTAAAAAGGCGGTTAAGAGTATACTACGAAATGTTTTTAAGTCAAAAACGTTGTAATCTTTTTTAGGAGATTTATTAGATCTTGTAACAGAGTTTAAAAGTACTATTGCAATATTGGTAAGCTGTAGACAAAAAATAAATAACAGCAGCGGCCATTTCTACAGATCGAAAATAATTTAAAAAGGTGCTTAAGAGTATACTACGAAATGTTATAAGGTTAAAGTGTAGTAATGTTTTTTGCAGCCTACTTTTAGGCACATTTTAGAAGTGAAATCGAACCTCTAGATTTGTATCTAGTTTACCATGAGAACTCTATGAGTGCCAAAGAGAGAAGATAAATTCTACCGCCTTTTCCCCTGTAAATCAGCCTTTAATTCTTTCTATCGCCGTTTGTTTGCGTTTTCCAATTTATAACAAAGCAATCCATTGAAACTTCGCCTCGGCTGCTGCCACTGGCGTCTGCTATCTAACTTGCCAATCGCGCTGGCTCGCAAAAGTCGTTTAAGATTAAACGTTTGCTGTAAAATTTCTCTTTTGACAAGCGCCCTTTTATTGTTAAAAAATTAACTTGGCTTTAAATTTACGCCTTTTGTTATCCCTTGACCTTAGCGCAGAGGACAGCCCCACCCAGCCATCCAGCCACCCACCCACTCATACAAGGGTCATACGCCAACATTGATAAAAGTTTTCGCTTTTTTCTCGTGGCCCCATCGCCCCTTTTCATTTTTTCCGGCTCGTGAAAAATTTCTTGTTACTAGAACGCAGTCTTGTAAAAGGCTTTGTTAGTCTACACTTTCACGGTATACTTTGGGAACTTTGTTAAAAGAGGACTTTTCATTCTTTTTTCGCGCGCTTTAATGACTTTGCATAGTTGGGGTTTAAAGAATTTAACAGTTTTAGATTAAGGACTGTAGTAAAAAAGTTAAAAATAATCCCTGCTAAAGTTGGCTATGTATTTGGATAACTCATTAGTTAAACAGTTAATTGGTATTAAATTAAACAAATTTAATGACAAATGAATGCATTTATCTAAATGGTAATTAGGTAGACGTAAAATTGCGATGGTAAATGTTAATTTATTATAATAATTTATAATGAATTTTCCAATATCTTACCACAACCTCTTACATCTTTATAGATCAAAGTCTTATATATCATTATTGAATATATTTTAGAGTTTATGTCTTAACAATGCATTAATGTATTTCCCCAATTTGTATAATTAGTTATTAAGATAATATTTATATGATTAATTTTTATTTAGTTAAGATAAGATATGTTAAATAATTTTCTTGAAAATTCCCCCTTAGAGTATTACCGGTTCGATGACCTTTTGATTCATCCTGCTTTCTCTGCTTTTTGGCCATTTTGGCGGAGCAGTTCTTATCGAAATCGTGTCTCAATAAATCTACCGGCACCTTCGAATACCCACCCGCCCAGTTTTCGATAACCGCCCCAAAAGGGCACCGCCCCGGCAGCTGTTGGGGAAAATCGGGGAAAATTCGAGGCTGAGAAAAGCCGTTCGAACTGATTATCCATGTTGACCGTCGCGGCAGCAGCCGCAGCTGATTGATTTGTTATTGAAAATATTAGGCCTGGCCCAGGGGGGAAACTGGGGATCCCGAAAGATGGGGATCTGTGGGTAATGTGAGTAGGGGAGTGACGTGGAACGTGCTGTGCGTTTGGATACGCTTGAAACTTTTATAACTTTATGAGGGCGTTGTAATTTGATATCGCAAAGTTTTTTTTATTGCCTTTTATAGCCTTATAATTTGGCCGCGATGCTGTTACCATTGTTGTTAAAGTTGTTGTTGTTCTTGCTGGTGTCGCCACAAGAGAGATTCTGAGCCCGGTTTGTTGGCCCATCGGGCGTATACTTGTTGTTTGTGGCGGCTTTTTGTTTACACGTTATTTATGGCTTATAAATACGTATCGCTTTTTTGGGGGAAGGCGCCTGGGGCGGCTGTTCTGAGATGCGAACAACTCACATGTGGCCCGTACTTAAGAAAGGTCTTAATGAGCATTAGATGTCGGCAAATTAAATTACCCATACGTACAGGCTTGCCTTTGTGTTTGTAATTGGATTTGAGATGCCTTACCTTTTCTAGTCCCGTCATTCAAATGACGGCACATTTTGCAATCCCAAACGTACATATGTGATTAGTTCTAATTTAATTCGCAGCTGCGATTTTCTACCCACTTCAAATAACAAAAAAGTACCGGAGAAGAAATTCCAAGAAATAGATATTGACAGTTTCTATGCTTTTTAATCCAAAAAGATACTTATCTTATAGCGACTTTGGTAGAACACCGACCATTGACGTAGTAGCATGATTGTTCAATTCTTTCTGTTTTGGTTTTATTTTAAATTTAGTTAAATTAAGTTTTGTTAGTAACTTCATAAATACAATCTTGTTTCTTTATTTCAATTTACATTGTAAATAAATCGTGAATTTCCCTAATCTAAAAGGGTCATAGGGATCGAATAAAAACCATTAATTGTGAATAACCAATGACAAATTAAAGATTTATTCAAATTGGATTGTCCGTGCCAACAAACAGAAACAGTTAAAAAGTTCTGCTACAAACTACTTTTTAACAAGTTACAAACAAATTGGATGAAATCTGTCAAGGGTTATGTTCAAAAACATTTTAATAATTTAAAGAGCGTTTTAAACAAAAGTTTTGGACATTTTAATCATGTTTAAATTGCCAATTAAAATATTAAAATAACCCAAATACAAATTGAAAATTTCTAATTAAGCAAATTCTTTTGATAATAAAGATCCATAATAACAGCAAATATAAGATTTTAAAGTTTCACGCTTTAATTAGTTATATTTTTAAATAGTATTACAGTATTTTATAAAATGTTTGAAAATTTACTTAGTTAAAATGGTATTGTTATTTTGAATATTATATCATCTATTTAATCCCAATAGCATGCGTAGATCGACGGGGGGTTGTGGGGGATAGACACCCCACTCGGTTTCCAAATTTTTGATATCTACTCAACCACATTTTTTTATATCCCACACAAACAAATTCTGGATCCGCCACAGCCATATAGGTAAACATAAATAATTATTGAATGGGTGTTTTTGTTTATTAGTTAACCTATGACATACCACAGTCGGCTTGCAAAACTTGTAGATTAATATGTTAAGTATATTATTCCCTCTTGTAGAACATAATTAGAAGCGAGTGAGGTGAGCAGTGGAGTGGGTAAAACCGAGAACAGGTTGTTTTTCGCTGCGCAGAAATGATGTTGTTATTTTCTTTTTTTCTCCCCCCACCCAGTTAGTTGTTTACAATTTCAGCTCGAGGCTCTTGAGAGTCGGGGGTTTTCTTCGCCATTTGATTATGCTCAGGAAATTTAATTGTTTAAGGTCGTCGGCGCAGGCAGAACTCGTTTAGAACCCCACAGTCATCAAGTCAGCTCGAAAAGGGTATATAAAGCGACCTGGCGGGGGATCGGCTCGACCATAGTGAACTTTTGGGTGAACGAGACAAACGGAGCGATGCGCGTTTACCACTTGAATCTATTAGTGCTAAGTGCGGGCCTTTTGGTCCTGATGGCGAAATCGGGAACCACGGCCCCCCAGGCGGATGTGGATGTACAGCAACTGACTCTGGCGGATGTAAATCGGGCCGAGGAGCAGCAGGAGATGCCGGCAGTTCGCCTGGCCAGGCAATTTGGAGGCGGTCGAGGAGGATTTGGCAGAGGCGGCGGTGGATTCGGCCGGAGGGGAGGCGGAGGATTCGGACGAAGGGGAGGCGGAGGATTCGGCGGCGGTGGATTCGGCGGCGGTGGGTTCCGGAGACCCGGTGGATTCGGAAGAGGTGGCTTCGGGGGTTTCGGAGGAGGATTCCCACCACCACCTCCACCGCCCTTCTTCGGCGGGCCCTTCTACGGCTAGGTGTTATTAATTTAATGTGCATACATGTGATACGATCAGAGCAGGATTAGCTCCTAATAAATCAACACGAGCTGCTGCTCTAATTACCCGACCAAGTGCTGAACCAGTTTTTTATGTGGGCCGTACTCTCTTTAAATTTCCATCACAGGTACTTAGCCATCTTTATAGGGGCTCTTGGCGGAAGCTGATGCGAAATACAGGGATGCACTATTAAGGTTTGTCATGAGATTTAAGGAAAAACTACATTTTAGTAAAAATAAAAATATTACTTTGTTATAAAGTGAGTTGCAGTCATCCCTTATGAATTTTAAGTATTTAAAAAACTAAACTATACACAGAGAGAAGTATCTAAGAACATTGTTCTTGAATTGAGAACATTCGTTTAGTAAAAATAAAAATATTACTTTGTTATAAAGTGAGTTGCAGTCATCCCTTATGAATTTTAAGTATTTAAAAAACTAAACTATACACAGAGAGAAGTATCTAAGAACATTGTTCTTGAATTGAGAACATTCGTTCTTAAAAACCGTGTAAGAACATTTTGGTATCAATATAAGAACGGAATGGTGAGGAGAGAAAAGTTAAATTGAGTTTATTTAATAAATTTTTGATAAGTTTACACTAAGGACTAAACTGATAGGCTTTTTGTACATACAATGTACTTGAATACCGTTCAAAATGTCGTTCTTTTTTTAAGAACATTTTCAACTCAGATGAGAGTATAAGCCCAGTTAAATGGCTGGTGTAAGCAATTGGAAATCAATTAAATTTTCCTTCACTTTGTGGATTAGAGTTTTAATTTGCAAAATCAGGGAATTTTTTTAAAATTTTAATATAGTTTAAATTTAAATAAATAACATTTTAGTATAATTTTTATTTTTATAACATTTTAGCGGATATTCGAGTTTTCCCATCTTGACTTTCATAAATTAAATGATATTTGTAATATTGCAGAGTTTTCTGAACCTCTGAATTTCAGTTTAAAGATTATTCCCATTTTTATAAGTGCAAAATAGACTTTTATTGCATTTTTAAAATGCGACATCAGATCATTAAAGATAAATTTCAACCTGGCAGAGCTTTTAATAAATCAAAAGAAGTAGCTACTCTAATTGCGTAAACAAGTACTCAACTTGTTTTCGCTGCTAAAGCTCTGCAGATAATTCCCATAAATATAACTGCTGGTGTTCCGAAGAGTATGATTGTAATAAATAGAATTAAGATGAGTGTGCTGCGTTGCCTCATGTTCTTAATTTTCGGAGCACTGCTCCTAAGAAATGCAGCGTCTGAAGATAATAAATCCCAGGACGACAAGGAGCAACAACATCATCTGCCTGATGAAGTGAAAAATTTAGACGAATCTGTGGAACGCATACGACGACAGATTGGAGCCTTTGGTTATGGCGTTGGTGTTTTTGGAGGAAGGCAACTGGCACATATTGGTAACCCCTACTATGGTGGTCAATTTGGCAATCCCTACTTTGTTCAGCCCTATGGTCATTATTTCCATGATCGGAGATTTGGAGGCAACTACGGAGGAGGTTTCGGTGGAAATTTCTACGGACGCTAGACTTTTTCTCTGCCGAATGGCAGTCAATGTCGACTTAATAAAGTTAAACATTAAAAGGTATAAACCCGTTTGGATAAAAGAGTTGATGGAGGGGGAAGGGGGAGTTTACCCAAGGGCAATGCTGAAATTATAAAAATTTCATTTCAAATCACGTTGAGTGACATGCAGACTGAGCACAGGACAAGAAAACTTAATCAGCGATGTTAACGATGTCAGGCTGCGGGAAACAGGATGTCATTCTGTACCATCAAATGGCTCCATTCCGGGTCGCGTACTCGTATTTTATTTCGCTCTCTACTTTCATTTTTTTTGGATTTTTTTTTTACTTCTTTTTTGTATTTTCTAATTCATATGCGTTTCAAGTTTTAATTACGTGGGAAAAAAGCGAATGAACAAACGAGCGGGTGCCATCCAGGGACCCAAAGCCAGGACCACGGGCAGGACTTCTTCTGCCGACTCCGTTTGGCTTGACTGACAGACGGAAAGACAGCAGAGTAGCAGAGCAGCAGAACATGAAAATAACAAAATACGCCCAATCAGACCAGCCAGAACGGAAACGAGACGATTCGCAGGGGGGGCAGAAGACGGACGCCCCGACCTAGAGACAGACAACCGCAGCAGACCCGCAAAAAAGGGCAAAAAAATTAAGTAGCGAAATCAGCGGGTAGAAAAAAATATAAAACAGAAGGAACCCGAGCTGGTGCCCCCAGAACAACACAAATACAACAGGATAAAGGCGTTGCATGCCAAGGATAATCCGTGCAGCGCTGGTACAAAGACGAAACTCGCGACTGACAGAGGCGGAAGAAAAATGGTAGCACGCAAAAATTGTGAACTCACTTGACGTGGCTCATTCTGGCTGAGCTGGTACTATGCACTAGAAAAAATATTATAAGGCTATCACAATTGGTAAACTCTAGCTGGAAGTATTGAAGGAATAAAGGCAGAATTAAACTTATTTTAAAAAAATTTATTAAACTAGTAACTTACTTAAGTAACATAACCCCTAATTAAAAAATTCCATATTTGGAAAATATTATATTCATCCTGATTAAAAAGTTTTGCCAAGATATTGAGAAAATCAAGTTTCGTCTTAAATAAAAAAATCTCCTATAACAACGGAATACTAATTTGAACTTTGTGAAATTTTCACAAACCACTTCTAGTTTTCCATGGTATTGGGGTTATTCTAAGAAAAATCCTATACACACTTATGTTTAGTCATGTTCCGTGGTATGACTAAGCATAAAAAAATGATGATTTTAGAGCTTTAATTATTTTTATAATTTATATATATAAACAAGATTAAAAATGATATTTTTAGGGCTTTAATTATTTTTTATAAGTCTTAATATGAACAAGATTAAAATCATTTAAGAATGGTATCTAACTTAAAGATCATAACAAAGATTATCTTTCAGAAAAAATGTTAGTAATTGAAATTAAATATATCATATATATATCATATCATATATAAATATATCATCTTTTATTTTGAACATAATATTTTTAAAAATATCATAAAAGCAGAAGATTTTTGTTCACATTTTTTTAATACTTATTTTTTATTTTTTTAATTAAAAAATAATTTAGTTGAGTAAAAATATATAATATAAAATAATATGTATGGCTCTGCTATAAAGCTGTCTTATACATAACACACAGGTTTGAAGGATAAATATTTCTTCTAGTGCACTCCCCCTCCACAAGCATTCTCCACCCGCTGCCAAACGGCATGACGACGTTGTTTGGTGTTGACGTGTTTGTGTGGGCGGAATGGGTGGTCAGCCCTTGTTAGCTGCGTGCGGCGGCCAAATCAGCGCTCCTTTCGTGGCTTGGCCAGAAGACGTGGCCATAAGCATAAATATGCACGAGCCCCTGGCAACAGCAGCTGGTCAAATTGCTCTGTGCGTGCGTGCGTATTAAAAGGCGGGGATTCTGCGGCACAACAGAAGACCAAAAAAACCAGAATAAATATCTGGGTAATTAACAATTACAATGATGCGAGAAAATTCTGGACCGTTGGCCAGCTCAGCTAGACCAGGTCCTAACGCTTGGCTGCCTGGTTAACGGACTGCTTGAGTGACTGACAGTTGCTATCAGAATGTGGAAGCCTGTCCGTCCATCTGTCCTTCCGGCTATCTGTCCGTCTGCGGTTTCGACCCCTCTTTGCTGTTATTCCATCATGCTGACAATCCCACAGATGCTCAGGCTATTTCGACCAGTGTGAAATAACAATGCGAATAGAATAGGGTAATAACATTATCGTCAGCAGTTTGCAGCGGTCTGGAAAAATCTCCAAACAACTATAGATATTTATAGAAAAATAAAGAAATTCCAGGTAATATGCTTTTACGATTTTAATATATTAAATAAGCATAAACAGACTCTCTTCTTTATATTATAAAAACTCAGTGCATAATTTCTTCGGTTTGAAGAACTTCATCTCCTATTTTTGATACGTTTATGGTCGAATAAATCCAAAAATTGTCTTCCCTTGAGGTGTATTTTTCAGTACACTTTTGACGGTTACCCAATGATTGGCTTGCTGCCTAATTGAAGTAGTTTATTGTTTTATTGCGTTTTCTGTACGAGTACTTCCAACTCTAAGTGAAAAGCAATTATAATAACTTTGGAGTGCCGTGCCTAAATACTTTTTAAACGATTTTAGTTTTAACACAAAACAGTAGTTGTGAAAAAATAATAATATGTTAAATCAGCAGAAACATTAACTGAGTAATCGAATTAGTACGGAAGGGATTATAGATTATGGTATTTAATGCGAAAAATAGATTAACTTTTTACCAAAAAGTCCATTAAATCGTAGCGTGTTTTAATAAACTTAAATTCGCAGCCTGACAGGAATATCATATAAATTAGCCAACGTAGGGGAAAAGCACTCTGGAGCCCCCAACCTCCGACCTCAACACACTTTGGCCAGATTAAGGATGATTTTATTTTGGTTTCGTTGTGTGCACTCCCGCCTACCATGTTTAATTGTATTTGTGGCGATGGAACACAAACACAAACACTCGCGCACAAACACACACACACTCTGAAACGCAAGCACAGATACTCTCGCACACAGATGGGCATGTAGGCACATCCTGCCACAAAGTTTCGCTGCTGAAAAATCTAAGAAAAAATCCCTAATTAAACAGTTTGTCAGTAATGCAAATAAACTTTGCTAAACTTTTAGCCCACAGTCAACGAGCGCGTTTCGTTTCGTTTCTTTCTTCCTCTGCTTGTTGCTTATTATTATTCCTGGGTTTCTTTCTTATTTCCAAAAACCCCCCTCTTGTCTTGGAATTTTTGTATATTTTTTTTGGTCAAGCACACAAAAATGTAATTATTAAAAAATTATGCTAAACACGCAATAAAAAGTTGGTAAGAGAAAAAAATATAAAATTAAGGAAGAAAACCGACGACAGGACAAGAAAAAAAATGTATTTTTAAAAGGCAAACGGTCAAATTTATATATTTGTAATTTCTTTTTTGTTAAACTTTGTTGTGTTCATTTTACGTTTTGTTTGTTAGCCGCCCGCATGATGGCAAAAAAGGAAAGCATAAAAGAAAGCGAGGCTGGCAACAAGAGCGAAATTAACAATTGTTAATTTGAAAATTGCACACAAATGCGTAATGCGAAAGTTTTTGCGCTCCGCCGACGGACAGCAACCCGTATTCTCCCCCAGAACCCGGACCCAGAATCCCGGTCCCGAACCCGGACCTCTAGTCCGGATCCCGCCAGACTCGGCTTGGCCACTTGTTAAGTGTTAATGAAATAATTATGCCAACTTTGCCCGGTCCAGCCACTGGCCGCACATGGCCCATTCAGCCCCCACTATGTATACAAACACTGTGAGAAAATACGATTCATAAGGAAACTTATTTCTGATTTATAAAATTTTAAATGACCAGCGGGATACAAAATTGTTGTACAAATAATTGATAATGAATTTAAAAACTTACTTTCCAAATGCCTTAAGTCTAAGTGTATTCTAATATGTACAAAATTAATTATCTTAACATTTTTTTCAGTGTAACGGATATACTTTATAGAAACTCTTTAAAGAAAAAACCTTGAATGTTTTAAATACTTGCCGAAGATGTTTTTATATAAAAGATATTAATAAGCTAGCTATTCTTTAAAAATTATTGTTTTGGTCTTTCATAATCCTACCTATACTTTATTTTTAGTTTAAATATAACCTTTTAAGCCAAAAAAAAGACACTAGTAAAAACAAATGTGAATATAATGAGTTATAAATGTTTCAAAAAAGTATTTGAAATAAAATATAAGCCAGAACTCGTAATATCAGGGGTTTTTTTTACTCTACAGAGGAAGCTGTAGTATCATTGTGGACTTGGGATGTGCGTATAAACCATGTTCTTATAAGTTCTTCATATCACGCAGCTTTATTTTGATCAGTGCTGCAAGGACACACCCCTCTGAAGAGCCCGTGGGTCACAGGCGGGATTCCCTATCCCTGCAGCCACTTCAGTTTTATTGTTCCCCTCAGCGCCAAGTTGTGAACAATGAAGTGTGAGCTGGACTGTGCCCACCGCCAGCACTTCCCGTACTGCCCCCTGCTTATTGCTTTTTTAATTCGATAAACTGCCCTCGGAAGACTCTGAAGAGCAATGGCAGCGACCTTGGTTTTGTTGCCCCCGGAAAGCCTAAAAGCAGGCAGCCCCTTTGTGCCGCAGAGGCTTTCAAACGCCTAAGCCGCTTAATTACAACGAGTCGGGGGCACCAGAGTTTGGGGCACCAGAGTTTGCCAGCTATTTGCTTAAGACGCGAAAATGTGATTAACAAGTGTGAAAAGCCGCCCGGTTCTCCCTTCATTTTTTCTTCTTTTCGTTTCTGCATGTCTTGTTTCCAAGTTTCTGGGCGAGTTTGGGAGGAGTTTAATTTTGCTTGAATAACTTTAATTGATTTAGTTTGGCAGAGTGTGTGTTTGCTGGGGGCAAAAAGGTGGGCTTTCAATTACTTAAAAATT